ACAGCATGTAGGAAAGTTCAGAGAGTGTAAGAGTTACACAGATGGCTTGGAGCAGACAGAAAAGAAAGCAGAGACATGCTCAGGTGCAAAAGTTATTGTTAGGTGCTAAAGTGTACCCTTAATATGAGTTTTTCAGATGGAGAGAGCATTTCCATAGCCAGTGAAAGTCAGCGAGCCAAAGTCAAGAGACCAGCATCCCCAAATCTCTTAAAAGGTCAAAAACAGAGATATCTGGGACAGAGGAGTCGTCACCCAGACTCCATCACCAAGAGAAGCACCCCTTTGAGTCCAAGAAAGAACCTTACACATATTGACCAGGTTTCCAGTTAAAGCAGATACTAGGTTCCAGCAGTAAGCCACAAAAAGTGAAAGGAAAGCTTGGTATCACACCAAACTGAACAGAATGTGCTTACCAAAAGTTCAGGAATTCAGTGGGCTTAGGGGAAAAATCACCAATTAGCCACTGTTGGATGGAGAAAGCTGGTACTTGAAGATCTGAATATTTGAGAACTGGCTAAGGGAGGGAGTGGTCCTGAAGGTTGATCTGAATCATGAAACCATATAAGTAGGAACAGTATCAATTCAGGACCCCCAAGACCAAGTTCTCAACACAAAGATTTATTTGCCCCAGAAGGACAAAGGGCAGGCAGTAAGAGAGAAAGGCAGGAGATAGAAGACAAGGGAGAAAAGAAAAGGAACAAGGAGATGGGGAAGCAGTATTTGTCCCATGGAAACGAAGGACTGCCTCAGGATGAAGAGGAAACAAATTTAGCCCATAAAAAAATGGTAGTTTATAAAGGTAAAAGGGGAAACCCCATGTTAGGATAGGGTGTTTAATTTTAATTAGGAATGTTAAGTAGATGAACCAAAGGGGGATTTTTTATTTAAATTAGAAATAAGTTTGTTTTACATGTCAGTCCCAGTTCCCTTTCCCTTCCCTCTTCCCCTACCCCCCACTGGCCCCCTATCCCATCCACTTTCTGCTCCCCAGGGAGGGTGAGGCCTTCCATAGGGTATCTTCAAAGTCTGTCATATCAGTTGGAGCAGGGCCTAGGTCCTCCCCCATGTGTCTAGGCTGAGAGAGTATTCCTCAATATGGAACGGGTTCCTAAAGTTTATTCATATAGTAGGGATAAATACTGATCCACTACCACAGGGCCAATTGATTGCCCCGGCCTTCAAACTGACACCCACATTCAGGGGTTCTGGGTTGGTCCTATGCTGGCTTCCCAGCTATCAGTCTGGGGTCCACAAGCTCCTCCCATTCAGGTCAGCTGTTTCTGTGGGTTTCTCCAGCCTGGTCTTGACCCCTTTGCTCAACATTCCTCCCTCTCTGCAACTGGATTCCAGGAGTTCAACTCAGTGTTTAGCTGTGGATGTCTGTTTCTGCTTCCATCAACTATTGAATGAAGGCTCTGGATGGCATATAAGGTAATCATCAATCTCATTATCAGGGAAGGCCATTTAAGGCAGACTCTTGACTATTTTTTAGATTCTTAGTTGGGGTCATCTTTGTATATCTGTGGGCATTTCCCTAGTGCCAGATTTCTCTTTAAACCTATAATGTCTCCCTCTATTATGGTATCTCTTTTTTGGCTCTCCTCTATTCTTCCCCTGACTCAAACTATCTGCTCCCTCATGTCCTCCTCTCCCTTCCTCTTCTTCCTTTCTCTTTCCCCTAGCTCCCACTCCCCTCCCCCCATGCTCCAAATTTGCTCATGAGATCTGGTCCCTTTCTCCTTTTCTGGGGGACCATGTATGTCTCTCTTAGGGTCCTCCTTGTAAAATACAGGGTTGTTTTGTCTATCCTGGGTCTTTTGTTTTCCCATATAATGTTGAGTATTGTTCTTTCAAGGTCTGTGAAGAATTGTGCTGGGAATTACATTGTATCTGCAGATTACTTTTGGCAAGATTGCAATTTTTACTATGTTGGTCCTACCTATCCAAGAGCATGGGATATCTTCCCACTTTCTGGCATCTTCTTTAATTTCTTTAATGATTCAAAGTTCTTGCCAAACAGGTCTTTCACTTGTTTGATTAGCATTACCCTAAGATATTTTATGTTCTTTGTGGCTGTTGTAAATGGTGATGTTTCTCTAATTTCTTTCTCAGCCCATTTTTCGACTGTATATAGTAGGGGCACTGATTTTTTTTTTGTTAGCTTTGTATCCTGACACTTTGCTGAAGGTGTTTATCAGTTGTAGGAGTTCCCTGGTACAATTTTTTGGTCACTTATGTAAACTATCATATCATCTGCAAATAGTAAAAGTTTGACTTCTTTTCCAATTTGTATCCCCTTGATCTCCTTTTCTCTTCTTATTGCTCTAGCTAGAACTTCAAGTACAATATTGAAGAGATATGGAGAGAGTGAACAGCCTTAGAGAATCACACTGAGTTTCTCTCCATTTAGTTTGATGTTGGTTATTGATCTATTGTATATTGCTTTTATTATGTTTATGTATACTCCTGTTATCCCTGATCTCACCAAGACCTTTATCACGAAGGGATGTTGGATTATGTCCAAGATTTTCACAGCACCTAGTAAGCTGACCACGTGGTTTTCCTTTTTCAGATTGTTTATATGGTGGATTATGTTGGTGGATTTACATATGTTGAACCATCCCTGAATCCCTGGGATGAAACCTATTTGCTCAAGGTGGATGATTTTTCTGATATATTCTTGGATTTGATTTGCCAGTATTTTATTGAGTATTTTTGCATCAATGTTCATAAGGGATATAGGTCTATAGTTCCCTTTCTTAGTTGTATCTTTGTGGGGCTTGGGTACCAAGGTAATTGCAGCCTCATGAAAAAAGTTTGGCAATGACCCTTCTGTTTCTATTGAGTGTAACACTTTGAGAATTGGTATTAGCTGTTGTTTGAATTTCTGGTAGAATTCTGCACTGAAACCATCTGGCCCTGGGCTTTTTTTAATTGCAAGACATTTGATGAGAGCTTCTATTTCATTAGGGGTTATAGGTCTATTTAAATTGCTTATCTGTTCTTGATTTAATTTTGGTGACATCTATCTATAATATTGTCCATTTCCTTTAAATTTTCAAATTTTGTGAAGTACAGGTTTTCAAAGTATGACCTGATGATTCTCTGGATTTCGTAGGTGTCTGTTGTCATATCCCCTTTTTCATTTCTGATTTTGTTAATTTCCATGTTCTTTATCTACCTTTTGGTAAGTTTGGATAAATGTTTGCCTATCTTGCTGATTTTCTTGAAGAACCAACTCTTTGTTACATTGATTCTTTGTATTATTTTCCTTGTTTCTATTTTATTGATTTCAGCCCTCAGTTTGATTATTTCCTGGCATCTACTCCTCCCGGGTGAGTTTGCTTCTTTTTGTTCTCCACCATTCAGAAATCTAAGCAATATCCCTCATCAATCCAACTTGCAGTTCACAAAGAGAAATTCTTAGAACATTTAACTTGTTTTAATTAGACCTATCAGACAATGTAATTTAGCTTCAGGATTGCCTACCAAGCCAAGACAGGAACTAACACTCTTGAGTTCTTAAAGAGTGTGACTCAGGTACTGTCCTACCACAGTTTCAGGTCACAGTCAAAGCCAACATGCACTTGAAGTTTAATTTTGTAATGAAACATACTACATCCCACACATAGTCATATATTGCATATGTGTGAAGGAAGAGCTTTATACTCATGTATGTGCAGATGCAAATGTGCATGAGAGCACAATATCTAAGCTTAAAATTGCTGACAAAGAGCCTACCTGGAAGACAAGATCAGAAAGGTAATAAGAATATCACGTCCCATTTAATGCATTTATTAATGTGTGTTAAATCTTTAATTACATGCATTCTGATGAAGAAATGAGGGTAATGGCACATGGCATCAAATTCCTATCACATTTATATTATGTGTGAAACATGTGGAAAGTAGAAGCATAAGAAGAAAGAGCACGCTGTGTTGTAAGAGGAGAATAATGTTAAGAGCATAAGACTGTTGATCTGATAGCATAAATTTGTACTTGCATCTAAGTTGAGGACTAGGAATATTTCAAATACAATTTTGTTGTTGTTCTCAGTAATAACAAAACTGGGACATGAGTTCCAACCTTAATGCCAATTCTCCCTTCTTACTGACCCTTATATTCTACCTCTAAAGGCTGGAGCTGCGCCTCAGATCTTCTCTGCTTCAAATCTATGCCTCCTTTAACACTAGGTAACACTGAATACGGGAGGCTTTCTGTCTCCTCCTCCTCATGGTCACTATGCTGATCATCAGGTACACTTGCATGTACTTTGGGGACTCTATTTCCCTCTTATCTGCATTGTGCCTGATAATAATAGATTGAAACTAAGACAAAACATAAAAAAGGCTTGTTACTGAGAATATACAGGAAAAGTTTTTGTTTCCTCAAAGTCATCCTAAGAAAAATTTGAGTCATTCATAAGATTGTTTATGAATGTATCTGAATAAATTCAAGTTAATTATGTAGTAACATAGCCCCCAAGTTCTTTTATATAAAATAAATGGATCCAAGATTCAGGAAGAAATTTTTTAATGTCTGATTTTGTGGAGTCACCAAAGAAGTATTTTTCATAAGAGGCATTCCCAAGTGCCATGTTCACGGTAACATTAGCAAAGGGAAAGGAGTCATATCAATGCAGAATCCTCCTAATGTTTGATATTTTATTTCCCTTTTGAACAAAATTTTTCTCAATCATATCCAAACCTGAAATAATTATTGGTGACACCCAGCTAAAGAGCCTCCGTCTCTTACTCTTACTCAGTACATATAATGATGAAGAAACAAAGCTACCTTGGAACATTATCTTAATCCATTTTTATCTGCCTTATGAACAAAAGAAGGGCAGGTAATCAGGGTGTGATGGAACATACCTGGAATGTGGTAGGTAGAAGCAGAAAGATGTGAAATTTAAGGTCATGTACAGCTGCATAGAGTTTGAGTCCAGCCTGAACACCATCAGACCATATCAAAAAGAGAAGGAAACTTTAAAAACTGACCAGAATTATAATGCTTTTATTTAAAACACACAAAGGCTAGGTGGTGCTGAACTTCACCTCACATTAGAATCATTTTTCAATTTTAGCTTTACAGTAATAATATATTAATAATTTGGCATTAGATAAAAGTTAACAATGCTAGAGACAGAAATCATTGCACAGCATGGGAAATCACAGATGTGTTTGGGGGTGACCCTGAAAATTAGCCAGAATGGAAGATATACATTCTCTGGATCTTGAGATCAGAGAGACAGGCCTAATAAAAGAGATCAACTATGCCTGGAGGAAGAAGCCACAGAAAGAAGCACATGTTGTTCATTCAGACGGGGATGAAGCAAATCTGGAACTTGGGTGGTACAGAAATAAGGCCATTGGCAACTGGGGTGATATCAAGGTCTTTTGGGTCAACTGGAGATTTCAGATGAAAGTTCTGCAAAATGGTGGTCAGGAATAAAAATAGCTCCATTCGGGCCAGGCCCTCTCCTACACAAATGCGTTTTCCTGTAAGCAAGAAAGACAATATCTAAAGAATTCGTATCAAAGACTTTCATACTCAGACATCTCCCCAGGAAGCAGACAAATAAAGTAAAGAGATCCTAGGTAGATGAATGTACTTCCACTTAAGAAGGTGAACTTCTGAGTTCTTCTTATCCAAGGCGAAGAATTGGCAGGCTCTTACCCATTTGCAAAACTGTTTGGGTAGACTTTCAAATCCCTTGCCAACACACCTCTTTGGTAGAACTTCTACTTAACTTTCCTGTCTTTGTACAAGTTATTCAATCCCCCAATGTGGCCTAAACCAGCATATTCTGGTTTAGAGAAAGGTAATCCATCCCATGCTCCAATCATATAAGAATCCAGACCCTTCAGGCTGACTCAGGTTCCCCTCCCCATGCAGGGAGTTGGTTTCTTTCTGTGTTCCATTGTATGGTGTATGTGGGTTTTCCCTTTCAACAAATGTGGTTAAATGGTGTCACTATGTCTTTTGTGCCTTTAATCCTTTAAGTTGGCAAAGACATCAAATCCTTTCCTATACCCCTAGATGGTATCATAATTATTTGATAAATAATTGGAAGGATGGAAAAATGAAGAAAAGGTGGATAAATCAAGAAAAGGTGGAGACTTTTTTCATATTTAATATTGGAAAATATAACATTAAAATATTTAGATAATAATTTAAAGATGGTGGAGTAGCAACACTGAACACAAGACATCTCATCCACAGGATGAAAACCAAGGAAGACATGAGTAACTGCCAGTGACCATGAGTGACCTTGGTGGGGCTTGGGAAGTAGAAAAGCTGAATACAGAGAATAAAAGAAATATAAGCAGAGTACCACTGTCCCCAGGACCAACACCTGGATAAGGAAGGGACTCCTACCTCAAAATGATATAGGTGAAGAAAAAGAGACATAACTTTGTACTGAAAACTGCACAATACAGACAAAATATCTTAAATAAACAGATGCCAAGCAGCCTTCGTGATCAGAAAATTTTATCAAAAATCTTCATGTGTCTCACAATAAACACTCTAACCCACAGCTATCTTAGCAGACAAGTTCTCATTATAGGAATTAAACTACTCTGGGAGTTAAGAAATCTGACATAATCAAGGAGAGTCCCCATAGACACCCCTCACCTGGGACTAGGTAGGTAGTGGCTGGAAGTAGTCCTTCAAGTTTTGTAGTCTGCACCCACTTCTCATCTGCTCCCTTCTTCCCGTTCCATCATGATGGGAGAATGTGAGGGGTCTCAGCTACACTCTCCAGCCTCAAGGGAGACACCTAATACCTTGCTATCTCTACCCTAACACCATATTCTTTCAAAACCCAAGTCTTTAAGTTTGTTCTTGACAAATATTTGGTTGTAAGAACAAGAAAATTAACTTGTATAGGAAACTGATATGGAGAAGTAGGTCATTTCCTATGATAAATCTCAGCATATGCTTCTTAGGAATTGCCTTGTGGGAGGAACATGAAAGAGTTTGTAGCTATAGGTTAGTGATGCTCTAATGGCCATTAGGCAGAGTTCGATATGCTATCCTTTTGGAAGTTTCAAGAGCTCTGTTAGAAATGGCCTAAAGCCATTCATGTCACATTGAGCAGAGCATCTGTGTTCTAAGAATTTGTGTGAGGTTGGGTTATTTGCAATGGACTAGTTTGCTTGGTGGAAGAAACTTCAAGACAGGATGGCATGTAAGCTTCATCATGGTTACTGATCACACTTCTTATCAAGGTCCATAGTGAGAGAAAACATGTGGAACAGGAGCACCAGGGAGTCTAGCAAAGCAGACAAAAGGGGTACAGACAATGCCCCTGTGGCTGTGGAAGAGATTAATGACATTAAAAGTCATCTTATGCTCTGCTCTGAAACAATAGATAAGGTTGCCTGAGGACAACACCCAACCCATTTAGGGCTCTAATTCATAAAAATGCAAAGTCATTTGAAAGCAGAAAATCAGAACTGAGAATGCCACAACAAGAGTTGCCAGCTCCAAGGCGATAGTCTAGGGAAATGTTTCTATCAAATCTAAAGTCAACTCCAAGGCAAGAGTCTAGGGAAATATTTCTATGAAGTCTAAAGTCAGCTCCAAGGTGATAGTCTAGGGAATGTTTCCATGAAGTCTAAAGTCAGCTCAAAGACAATAGTCTAGGAAAATGTTTCTATGAAGTCTAAAGTCAGGAACCGCTGTATTCTTGATCCAAAAGGCACTTGAGGAAGAACCTGACATTATCACCTGTCTGGTACTAGTTTGGCAGACATGAGAGATGCCAGAGAGTGTGGGTCTCCATGGACAGTGTTAGCTCTGAGATCATTGAAACATGTTGTGCTGAGCCAACTCCTCCCTTCACTGACCTTGGGATGGCTAGTCCTACCCCTCAGAGGAGAACTCACCTCCCTGCTCCCCCACCAAACCCAGGAAAGATGACCCCACCCCTCACCTGGGAAGCATATTAGAGTTAACTCTGTGGAAAGGGATACAAGTAAGCTATCCCTGAAGGCTTGAGAACAGGAAAGTTGACTCTGCCCTCCCCATCTGCCATGTGGTGGCGTGGGTGAGACAAAGATGTCCTTCTCCCTACCCATCACCACCGGCATCAGGTAAGAGAGCTTGCCCTAGTGTCACATGAGTAGGAGAACTAGCCATGATCCTCACCAGCTGCAGTGCAGGAAAAAACAGCCTCTACTTCCCATCTGGGCAGCTCACTAGAGCTGACCCTGTTGTCAAGATGTAGGTGAACCAGCCCTGAGGACTTGAGAGCAGGAGAGCTGGCCCTCTCCCCTTGTATGCCCCCTACAGCAATCAGGAAAGATGACCTGCACCTTGCCTTGGCAGAATAGTAAAGCTGGACCTACATCTATGAGTGAGGGGGACCCAGATCTGAGCACCCAAGAGCAGGAGACCTGGCCCTGCTCCATACTATAGGCTGCATTTGGCTGAACTAGCCAAGGCAATGCTGGAGAGCTCATCTTGGTAGGGACAATGAGGGAAAGCTAGTGAACTGACCAACCTAGCTACCACCAGGACTATGAGTTGGCCCACTCCAACATCTACCCATCTGTGAACTGTTGGAGAAGGGGACAAATCTACAGATCCAAAACAGCAGGATCTCCATGATACAGGATAACAACTGGATATCCAAGCGGAGGCCCTTGAAAGCCCATTATAAATAGGGTAACAGAAACCAGAGGACTCCAACCAGACCAATGGGTCATGCAACAGCTTCTACAAGAGTCTTTATTTGTTTGGTTGGGTTTTTTTTTTTTTGGTCTTGGTTCTGTGTTTCGTTTGGGTTTCTTGTTTGTCTTTTAAATTTGGTTTTGTTTGGGGGAAATTGCAAGGACAGAAGGCAAATGCAAGGGAAGGAGAAGATAAGTGGGATCAGAATGCATGATGTGAAATCCACAAAAAAAAATCAATAAGACAGAGGAGAGAGAGGGGGGAGAGGAAGAGGGACAGAGAGAGAGAGTCATGAAAGCAAGGGCAAAGAGTCCAGAAACCAGTTCAAACCAGGGATTATGTGACAGTATCTCTCCCTAAAAAGAGACTCCTCCAGTGAACTACTGCTTGAAGCTGGAAAGTGAAGGATAATAGAATATACCAGATCCTTAGAACATCTACCTAGAAAACTTCAGGCCAAGAGCTGAGTCAACATGAAACTCATTAATTTGTATGATTAGTCATATTTATAAAAATAAAATAGTGATACCTGGCTCATCAATCCTCCCTCTCTAGAACTGGATTCATGGAGTCCAGCTCAGTGCTTAGCTGTGAATCTCTGCTTCTGTTTCCATCAGCTATTGGATGAAGGTTCTAGAACAGCATATAAGATAGTCATCAATCTCATTATAAGGGAATGACATTTAAGGTGGCCTATCCACTATTGTGGATTCCTGGGAGTTTCCCTAGTGCCAGGTTTCACCTTAAGCCCATAAAATCTCCCTGGTTTTTGGAGCCCATTCCCTATAGAAGGTTACTCTCTCAGCCTACATACAGGGTAGAGGGCCTCAGTCCTGGCCCAAATGATGTGACAAACTTTGATGATCCCCCATTGGAAGCCTCACCCTCTCTGAGGAGTGGTTAGGAGGTGGAATGGGGAAATGGGTGGGGGTGTGGGAGGATAGGAGGGAGAAAGAGCTGGGATTGGTATATAAAATAAGTTTGTTTTTTATTTAAATTGAGAAATTAATAAAAACAAACAAAAAATTAAACAGGGAACATCGACTTCATTAAAAGCACTGAATTAAGTATCACCATCTCCCATTGTCTTGGAGAGATCGGGGATAACAGGAACATACTTAAACACTGAAAGCTCTAGAACACAAAGAAGCAAACTCCCCCAGGAGGAGTAGATGCCAGGAAAAAATCAAGTTGAGGGCTGAAATCAATAAAGTAGAAACTAGGAAAACAATACAAAGAATCAATGCAACGAAGAGTTGGTTCTTTGAGAAAATCAACAAGATAGACAAACCTTTATCCAAACTTACCAAACAGCAGAGAGTGAACATGCAAATTAACCAAATCAGAAATGAAAAGGGGGACATAACAACGGACTTTGAGGAAATCCAGAGAATCATCAGGTCATACTTTGAAAACCTGTACTCCACAAAATTCGAAAATTTAAAGGAAATGGATGACTTCCTGGATAGCTATCACTTGCCAAAACTAAATCAAGAACAGATAAGCAATTTAAATACACCTATAACCCCTATGGAAATAGAAGCAGTCATCAAAAGTCTCCCAACCAAAAAAAGTCCAGGTCCAGATGGCCTCAGTGCAGAATTCTACCAGAAATTCAAAGAGCAGCTTATACCAATTCTTCTCAAAGTATTCCACACATTAGAAGCAGAAGGGCCTTTGCCAAACTCTTTCTATGAGGCTTCAATAACCTTCATCCACAATCCACACAAGGATACAACTAAGAAAGAGAACTTCAGACCAATATCCCTCATGAACATTGATGCAAATATACTCAATAAAATACTGGCAAATCAGATCCAAGAACACATCAAAACAATCATTCACCATGATCAAGTAGGTTTCATCCCAGGGATGCAGGGATGGTTCAACATACAAAAATCCATCAATGCAATCCACCATATAAACAAGCTGAAAAACAAAAATCACATGATCATCTCACTAGATGCTGAAAAAGCTTTTGACAAAATCCAACACCCCTTCATGATAAAGGTCTTGGAGAGATCTGGGATAACAGGGACATACTTAAACATAATAAAAGCTATATACAGTAAACCAACAGCCACCATCAAACTAAATGGACAGAAACTCAACGCAATTCCTCTAAAATCAGGAACAAGACTAGGCTGTCCACTCTCTCCATACCTTTTCAACATGGTACTTGAAGGTCTAGCCATTGCCATACGACAACAAAGGGGGATCAAGGGGACATAAATTGGGAAGGAAGAGGTCAAACTGTCACTGTTTGCAGATGATATGATAGTTTACATCAATGACCCAAAGAACTCTACCAGGGAACTCTTACAGCTGAGTAACACCTTCAGCAAAGTGGCAGGCTACAAAATCAACTCAAGAAAATCAGTAGCCCTACTATATACAGATGATAAAAGGGCTGAAAAAGAAATCAGAGAAACATCACCCTTAACAATTGCCACAAACAACATAAAATACCTTGGGGTAAAGCTAACCAAACAAGTGAAAGACCTGTATCGCATGAATTTTGAGTCTTTAAAGAAAGAAATTAAAGAAGCCCTCAGAAAATGGAAAGACCTCCCATGCTCTTGGATAGGTAGGATCAATGTAGTAAAAATGGCAATCCTGCCAAAAGCAATCTACAGATTCAATGCAATCCCCATTAAAATCCCAGCACAATTCTTCACAGAGCTTGAAAGAACAATAATCAATTTTGTATGGAAAAACAAAAGACCCAGGATAGTCAAAACAACCCTGTTCAACAAGGCAACGTCTGGAGGCATCACCATCCCTGACCTCAAGCTCTGTTATAGAGCTATAGTCCTGAAAACAGCTTGGTATTGGCACAAAAATAAACAGGGAGACCAATGGAATTGAATTGAAAACCCGGGTATTAACCCACACACGTACGAACATCTGATCTTTGACAAAGAAGCTAAAAATATACAATGGAAAAAAGAAAGCATCTTCAACAAATGGTGCTGGCATAACTGGAGGCTGGCATGTAGAAGAATACAGATCGATCCATGTCTATCGCCATGCACAAAACTTAAGTCCAAATGGATCAAAGACCTCAACATAAATCCAGCCCCACAAGAGTTCTTCTAAGAGTGAACCTCTTAGAAGAGAAAGTGGGTGGTACCCTTGAACGAATTGGTACAGAACACAGCTTCCTGAACATAACACCACTAGCACAGACAGTGAGATCAACAATTAATAAATGGGACTTCCTGAAACTGAGAAGCTTCTGTAAGGCAAAGGACACAGTCAGCAAGACAAAAAGGCAGCCCACAGAATGAGAAAAAAATATTCACTAACCCCACATCTGACAGAGGGTTGATCTCCAAAATTTACAAAGAACTCAAGAAGCAAGTCTCCAAAACACCTAAGGATCCAATTAAAAAGTAGGCTGCATAACTAAATAGAGATTTTCAATAGAGGAGACTAAAATGGCTGAGAGGCACTTGAGAAAGTGCTCAACATCCCTAGCCATCCGGGAAATGCAAATCAAAACAACTCTGAGAAACCATCTCACTCCTGTCACTTCGGTCAAAAACACCGAAGACAATTTATGCTGGAGAAGATATGGTGAAAGGGGAACACTCCTCCATTGTTGGTGGGAGTGCCAACTTGTTCAGCCACTTTGGAAATCAGTATGGAGATTCCTCAGAAAAATGGGAATAAACCTACCACAAGACCCAGCAACTCCACTCTTAGGCATATATCCAAAATATGCCCATTCATACAACAAGGATGTCTGTTCCACTATGTTCATAGCAGCATTATTTGTAATAGCCAGAACTTGGAAGCAACCTAGATGCCCCTTAACCGAAGAGTGGATAGAGAAAATATGGTACATTTACACAATAGAGTACTATTCAGCAGAAAAAAAACAATGGAATCCTGAGATTCGCAGGCAAATAGATGACACTAGAAGAAACCATCCTGAGTGAGGTAACGAAGTCACAAAAAGAGACACATGGCATGAACTCTCTCATATATGGATTTTAGACATAGATCTGGGGAGGGCCAGCCTACAATCCCATGGCCAGAGAGTCTGGGAAACAGAAACTTCATTCAATGGCTGATAGAAGAAGAGGCAGACTCCCACGGCTAAGCACTGAACTGAACTCAAGAAAGCCAGTAACAGAGATGGAGGACTGGTGAGCAAAGGGATTAAGACTGGGCTGGTTTAACCCCCAGAAACAGCTGACCTGACAAGGGTTAACTCTTGAATCCCAGGCATTAGCCTGGGAATCCAGCATGGGACTGATCAAGACCCCCTGAAATTGAGGAGGCCTAGGTAATCTACTGAGCCCTTGGGCAGTAGATCAATATTTATCCCGAGTATACACATGGACTTTGGACTCCCATCCAACAATGTGAGATGCACTCTTACCCTGAACTCTTGGGGGGGGAGGGTCTAGGCCTGAATGAAATGACAGACTATGGACACCCCCATGGAGGGCCTCACCCTCCCTGGGGAAATGAGGGGATATTGGGGGGGGTTGGGGAAGGGCACGGGAGGAGGGGAGGGAAACGGAGAGGGACCTGGAGCTGACTTGTGAAGCAACCTTGTTTCTAATCGAAATTTAAATTTAAAAATAATAATAAAAATACAAAAAAAGAACTGTCCTTTTATAATTTGTGTTTCCATCCTTTGAACTAGAGACATCCATATAACTCATCTTTTCTATTCCCAGTCTGAGTTTTACAAGTTTTTCTTTCAGCCTTCAAGCCCTCTACTGTCAGTTCCAGTGATGTCCAAGGACCATGAGTGTTCAAATTTTGTGATTTTATTGGCTAAATGCCTATACTACACTCAGGATATAGCCAAACATAATTTTCTTTCGTATCTTCAAAATAAATAAAATATGACCCCCAGCAAAAATTTCTGGAAAAAATGTTTTCTGGGGTTTTTTTTCATAATTGTGTTAAAATATGCATTCTTAAAGAGAGGTTTTGGTCTGTGTTATCATGTTGTCTATAATAAGAGATAAAAAGCAGGCATCCAAAATCACAGTATCAACAAGTGTTGGGGACTGCTAAGAACCTTGAACAAAATGGAGTCTGTCAGCCATTTTTTGGCCTTCTGCCTACATGACTGCAGACACACATACCCTTGAGACAAAGGAAAAAGTTAACCACAAAAGTTAAATTTACACAGAGCAGCCCACCCTCCTAGCCAGGGAGAAGTAACCCTTATAGAACAATTGCCTTTGTTGGCAAAGGGTTAATGTATTCCTTTGGATGCTTTTACCATAATGATAGGTGGAAGTAACCCTTATAGAGCAATTGTCTTTGTTAACAAAAGGTTAGTGTGTTCCTTTGAATACCTTTTACCCCTTCCTAATTCCTGCACCTGGCTTATGCTGACAAGCATTTGCGGAATGCAACTGATGGAAAATTACAGCTTCGTCTTTACCTTATTTGGTGTATATTTGAATTGGGACTTGATTGGCATGATTGTACCGCCCCCTGAGATTCTCTATCTATAAAAACTATCTCACCCCAATAATAAATGCTCTTGATCAGCAAAAGTTGTCTTGAGCCTGTTTCCCTTAACCTCTTGAAGTTTGCTTTTTAAGATCGGATCTGCTCGTGAAGACCCACCAAATTAGTAGCGACCCTCATCACCTCATCCCTGCGGGTCCGGGGTCCCCTCCGGGGGTCACAAACAAGGGTTGTTCCATGGCTGGAAACTTAGCACACATCAGGTATAGAAGAAATCCAAGAGTTTACACTCGGGGCCATGATTGGGAAAGGGTGTTCTGTGAATATCCCATTGCATCCTGCTAATCCAGGAAGAGTTATCTGGAAGATTTTCTGACACAAGGGCCAAAAGTTCCACTGTTGCTTTTCATTGCCTCCTTACAATGCCTTACCTTACCTATTATCCTTTTCTCATTACCTTTTCAGGCATCTTACATGGGTTCTCTGGATTACCATGTTTCCTACTCCATCCCATATTTTGCAGTGTGGTACAAGAAGCAAGAGACAAGCAAATGACTCACCATAACTTCCACCTGCCTCCCTCTGGCAACTTGTGCTTCCCAGTCACAACACATTCCACTGGGATTATAATAAACTGTCTGCCCTTCTGCTACCCTTCCTGAGTATGAAACTTTTATTCTGTACTTGGGGAGACTTGCATCTCCCTAGAAGTCGTGAGATGAGAACCATCACAGAGAAGACATTGAATCATGTCTTAGAGTTAGCTGACATCCTCAGAGAAGGGCAATATATCTTACTGTCCAGAAAGACTTCAACAGTCACTTTGTTATGTATCTAGACCACAATCTAACCACACTGTGAGCTAGCTTTGTGAATTTAGAAAGGATGGGTGAACACTCTAAAGTCCTACTAATGTGGCTCATTGGTGATAATGTTTTTTTTTTTGTCTCAGAGAAAGGGCATGGGCATTGAGAGTAGTAATCTGACCATGTCTAAAGAATTTATCTATAGTCCCAAGAGAAAACACAATGTAAGCTGCAAGAGATGCCTACAAGTTGCCTTGCCGCACTGAAAATAAATTTTTATTACCTGCTGAGAAAGGAAAAAAGTAGTCACTTTTCTTAAACTTGCCATTCTCATCCAGAAAGTGACGAGGATCAAACTTCTCTGGGTTGGGGAATTCTTTGTCATCATTCAGCACAGATGTCAGTGACGTTATTACAGTAGTACCCTAGAAATAAGAGGCATAGACAAGTCTCATAAAAGTTATGGAACTAAACGGAACAACTGGTATCACATAGTTTAAGGTTTTAATCCAGAGATGAGGAAACCATTACCCAACAAGAGCTGAGACAAAGCCAGAAAGACTGTGTAACAAATAGAGAATAAGGAGCTGAAGTCCAGTGGCAGTGATCTTGATTCAGTGTCTTCTAATAACTATATAACTACATGTACTTAATGTGAGCCTGCTGAGTAGATTAATATGAGTGGAGTTAATTGCCTACTAGAATAGTCAGTTTTAAGCATTGACAAGGCAGGTCACATATAATGGATGACTGACAACCTACCTTCTACTTCTACTCTATTTTTAAGAGAAAGGAAGAGTATGAAGTTGGGTGAGTAGTGAAGGGAATCTGGAAGGAGTTAGGGAACAGGGAAGAATATAATAAAAATACACTGTATAAATGAATAAAATAATTTAAAAGTAAAGGATTCCTAAAAGTTCTGACCACTACACAAGGGTATATACATACATACATATACATACACACACATACACATACATACACACACATACACATACATACATATGCATACATAAATAAATGCAATTTTATAAAAATTCTTGGAGTGCTTATATATAGGTTTTATATTGGACAATATTGTTGTATCAATAAGAACTGAGTATGAGTTGTATCACTATCATGTACTAAAATAATAGTTGTTGCTGGAACAGAAATACAGAAATATCAAGCTATACATGTATATATACATAGTTACACAGGTGATATAATACAGAGATATTAAAATTTCACACTAATTCATTTAAATTTTATTTTAAAATACAAAATGGAGGAAATTCTCAAATATTTATTATACAACAAATCTACAATTTTGATTTTACATTGATTCTCTTCAATTTTTTAGTGAACAAATTTAATTAATTTTTTTCAGTGAAAAAGAAATTATTTTCTCAAGACATCTGATTCAAATAATTAGGCTATTTTAACAAAATAATGAGAAAAGTATCAGGCTTGATTGATTCTCTGTACTAATTAACTTAAAAGTAGCTACTGATCTACACTTAGAGCTAAAACGAGAATGCCTCTGGAAAATGATGAGAAAAAAAACACTAAGATCTGACACTAGCAAATATTTTTTCAGATAGGATAAAATGTACAGATCTTCTCTAAGTAAGTATGGAATATTCTTTTAGAAAGTCACTCCAGGCATAGACAAATATTCATTGTGCAAATCCAGCCTTCTATCTCCTTTGACTAGTTAAAGATCTGAGGATGTTTAATCAAAGAGAAATTTTGAAAAACATTTTTCATATGTCAAAATCTATGAAGTTTAAACCTCAGTTTCCATTGCCAGTAGTCATAGCCATTATAGACAGAGTTTACATGCTGTTGGTAATTTCTTTCCTATTTCAGTAGCAAACTGTAGACTCGCAACAGAATCCTAGTGGCTGAGAAATTCTGAAATACAGTCAGTTAAAGTAAATATTTATCAAATCATCTCTTAGTTTTCTCCTCTGAAATCAGTGTGTCATTTACCTTGTCTGAACATAGTAGGATTACCTACAAAATGTTTATCATTTCTCTTATAGTCTTATGCCTGAAAAGTAGGAGCAGGACGTTCACAGGGACTTTTTTTTTTAACTCAAAGGCAACAATACAGGATGAACCACCAATGGATTTCAATTTGGGAGATCCCTACACTTTCCTCTATCAGATCACAAAAACTGGTGATATCAATGTCCCCATTGTTTCCTCAATCTGTTTTCTATTGACTCACAATGGAGAAAAATACTTTCCTTAATATTACTCTGTTTCTAGTCCCAAGATAAACATGTTTACTGCTGTTTGTGCCTTTTGATAAAAGGAGAGCTGAGAGCTGATTGAAGCCCTAATCTTTATGTCAAATCTATTGTTCCCAGAGCAAATCCATCACTCATTGCCAAAGTCATCAATTCCTTATTTTTCATGAGATAGCACTAGTAATTGCAACCTTACCAACTTCAGTACTCAGTTCCTTGTAACAATATAATTTTGTTTTATTCCATCCTTAACAGGAAATGTCCTGACTTCACATGAAAAAAGTAGCTTACCTGGTGATTTGAATGTACATATATAATCAGAAACCACATGTTAGAAAATATTATTAGAATATAAAGACCAGTATTTACATGGAATACATAGGTCATAACTTTATAACCAGAAAGTCTAGATAAATGCATAAAGTGTGTTAGCAAGCTTTACAGAGCTGTGAGTATCAGATTGGATTATTTAGTATTGAAGAACAAAAGAATATCAGAAGACCAATTAATGCCTGGAGTTAACCACCATTTCTATTCATATCAATTCTGAGTCATGGTCAAAGGTGTTAACTTAATTCTGACTTCTTAGTGGAAAAGGAACTCTTTCTGGAAGAAGATAACTATCCTCTGAAATGTTGTTGCATTTTCAAACAGAACAGTTGGTATTTTACTAAGTGTTGCTCAAAATTGCAAGGATATGAGTTAGTGATCACAAGAGGAGAGAGGGAAGGAAATACAAACAGATGTTTTTCATGGAAGGGTTTACTCAAGTTCCTGTGAAAAGCATCATCCCTATATTTAAAAATAATCAAACAAAATATTGATGAATAAAAACAATACAACAAAATCTCTAAGAGGTAGAAAGAGGAGCCATGAATAGCATACAGCAGAGAAAATTCAACTGTGTGTATGAAAGTAAAATATGGACATTTGTGAGCAAAATGTATCCAATAAGTACACATGGATAAAGTATATTAATTTGATAAAATTCTGTAATTGTTCACAAAAAAAGCTCCTATAGAGATTAGAGAACCAAGAAATGTTCCTTATTTGATAATGCACTAAAAATTACTTAAAGCATAATTCTCAGAAATGAGATATTAAGCTTCAACACTACTCTACAGAGTAGAAATAGAAAACATGTGTCTAGCACCAACTGTGTTTAACTCAACTCTCTCCGGGAAATTCTAGTCCTAATTAGAAATTAGGAACATAAGAATTAAGGAGTATAAGATGGGTTAATATGTTAATTCAGCTGGCAGTAAAAATCATCTCACACTTACAAATGAACCTAGCTAGATATAGTCATTGGCAATGAGTAGTTGCCTTGTCAAGGTTACTAGATATAAGGTCATCACAATGATATAATAAAGTGCATGTTCAAGAAGCAAGTGCAGAGAAATGGAAAAGGAGTGATAGATTCAAAAGCAACAAAATTATTTACTGCCCAGGAAATACTTAGTAAAATATTTAGAAGCCACTGCACTGAAAAAAACAAGATTAAGAATATAAAACAAAACTATAGTACAATAGGAATATAAACATCTGAATTGAAGAAGTTAATGGGGCAACATGTTGTTTCCAAATACAACTATACACTTCGTGTCACCCTGATAAAGATTCCTAAGATTGGCAAACGGGGTTTCTCTGAATATTCTTTATAACCCTAGGCAGTTAAGAGTGCCTAGGAATTATTTTTAAAGAAGAGCAAATTGGAAAGACATACGGTGCCACATTCAGAGACGTGTTCTAAGGATTTACAGGCTCTTAATAGAAACAGCACAACACCCAGCTGATCTTGTGTGAGAAACAAACTGGAATCCATCACACTGTGAATTGAGATCAAGATTAAGGTATGCTAGAAGAAGGTATTAGTGTTAAGGTGTGTAGAAGAAGGAAGCTTACCTTGGGAATGAGATAGTTTCTGAACTTAATGTCACAGGTTACTGCATGGGGCAGGCTGGTGGGAAGCAGATCAATGTATCTCTGAATCTCATGCAACACAGCATCAGTGTATGGCATGTGACTCCTGTCCTGCATGCAGGGGCTTCTGTGTCTACCAATCACATGGTCAATCTCTTCCTGGACTTTGGCTGGTTCAACATAGAAAAACATGACAGAAGATGGAAATGGCACACTGGTTGCAACTGAAATTGCAAAAACCCAATCTTTTGGACCAATAATTTTTTAAAGCAGTCTGGCTATGATCATGTGCTAGACCACAGGATACTGGGTGCTCCCTTGCTCCTCCTAGAAAAGGGGGTTTGGCATTAGTGTTGAAGCTCTGTTGCTACCAGCTCTGCTGTATTTGAAGTTTGGAACCTCAGTGTTTTGTATTTTCCTCTGTATATTGGGAACAGTCATGCCATGTTGGCGAAGTCTGTCATCAATGCTCCGTGTGTGTGTGTGTGTGTGTGTGTGTGTGTGCACGTACATGTGTGTACCTATCTGAATTTTAGGGGGATTGTTGGTAATATAGGGAAAGAAAATAACAGGAAGAATCAAGAAGAGAAAGCTACCTCCTCTCCTTAAAGCATCACAAAAATTTATCAGTCAAATCAAGACACCATGAAAGTTTCAGTAGTTCTTGAGTCAATAATTTAATTTTTCAATATAGCAGACACTTGTCCAGAATTTTCTATGATGATGATAATGTATAGAGTTGTGTAGTCTATAGATGTTCACTCTGTGAAGAATACATACAATGGTTGAAGGAGAAAGATGAGTCAAAATTTAAGAAGAGAAAATTGTCAATTTAATTTTTTAATATTGATTTTCTGTTTTTAAGCAAGTGCATGTTTATGTCTTGTGGGGGAATTTGAACATGACTGCAGGAACCCAGGGAGGCCAGACATGGAAACTTGATTGACTTTAGCTGGAGTTACAGATGGTTGTGAGCTGAGAAACATTGATAATGGGAACTAAACTCCACTGTCTTCTCCAAAAGCATTACCTCTCCTGAACAACTGAGCCATCTTTCTTCCCCAGAATTCCTTTCCATCTTATACCTTGTGCTGACACAGTAGCCTCCGGTAAGGCCCACACTCTGGAACAGTGCTCTATTGGTTATATTACTGCCATACTGTCTTCACTTCAGAAGGCATCCTCCTCTGTGTGGCTTGAGAAATCCACTTCACAGATTACAGCTAGTGACACAAATGGCTAAAAGCAGAGGCTTCTCTGAGACAAACAAGATTCCTTTCCAAAACTCACTTGCTTCCCACCTGTGTCCTTACCTGTGACTCCTGGGTGTTTGAGCAGGAGCAGCAGCGAGTACCTCAGTGTTGTGCTTGTTGTCTCTGTCCCAGCAGCAAACAGGTCAAATGTGGTAGTTGCAAAGTTATCATAAATGCACTCAACTTTTGGGTTGTGTTTTTCCTAGGAATAGTTTGACTGTGTTTTCCAACAAGTTATTTACAAGCGTATTTATTACAGTGAAAAAATAACTTACATGTAACAAATTTAACCTGACAGAGGAGCTTGAAAAACATGGGCAGATCCCACCCCAATTCATTTTCACCTCCTACATCCAGCTTCTTACCTGGAAAATCTCCTTTCATGAAATTCTTTAGCCAGATGAATCATGCAATGTACCATGTTCCCAAAGGTACATAAACAAAAGAATAACTGCTCCGTTTCCTTTTGTCTCTTCTTTACTCAAAACACACAAAAGAAAGAAGAGAAAAGCCAGGCGGTGGTGGCGCATGCCTTTAACCCCAGCACTCGGGAGGCAGAGGCAGGCGGATCTCTGTGAGTTCGAGGCCAGGCTGGACCGACAGCCTCCAAAACAATACAGACAAACCCTGTCTCGTAAAACCAAAAAAAAGAAAAAAAGAAAGAAAGAAAGAAGAGATAAAAGCAGACAGCATGTAATGCGGAGGCCAGCCATGAAGACAAAGGCCTCAACTTAAATATGGTGAAGAAAAGTGGAAGGCCCCTGCCTCTCCTGGGGTAAGTATATTGCTTGAATAAGGATAAGAAATCCAGTTTACATCGAGCATGCAGTACAGCTCAGTGCTGCAGAATTGAGAGCTCATGAAAGGAGTCTTAACATTTTTTTAAAGATGTCAGGGAAATTCAAGAGATGTATGTGGCCTTTCGACAAATAGTTCAGTGATGAAATAATTTATTCCTAATAGGTCCAATAGACACCAACCTCAAATTCACTTGAAGTTACATTCAGTTAAGGTGCCTTTTTTTTTACTAACCATACCCACCCACACACCATATCCTACATCCTACAGTTTACTTGAAATTTGTTTACCTGTCCACCACTGCAAATATTTTTGTTTTGAAACAGGGTCTCCCCATGTAGTCCCAGCTACCTTAGGACTCGCTCTGTAGACCAAGCTAGACTTTAAATCACAGAACTCTTCCTGCCCCTGCCGCCTCTGTGCTTGGATAACAAGCATGTGCCATCACCCAAAAACTGAAAATATTTTTCAGAGTTCATTCAATCTGCAACATGTAGGAAATCTGGCTAGCTTAAACTATTTTCCATGTTTCATAAACTGTCTGCAAAGATGACACCATCTCCATACTATGCTGGATACTTCGTTTTTCTGATTATTTTAGGAGTGTTTCCACTTCACCTGCTTTGTGAATTCTACTTCTCTTCAGCTAAATTATTTCTTTCTAACAAATAAGGCTGAGGGCCAGAGAGATGCCTCAGTGACTAAGAGCACTCGTTGCATTTACAGAGGACTAGGGTTCAGGTCCCAGTACCCACATGGTGGCTAATAACCACATTAAACTCTGGTTCCAGGGGATCTGATACCCTTTTCTAACCTCTGCAGGCATTGAGCATGCATAGTAAACAGACACACATGCCAGAAAAACACCATATACATAAAAATAAAACATACACACAGTCAATGTAGTCCAGTTATTCAGCACTTTAAGTTTATATTATCTGGGATAGTATCTAAATTCATGTCCAAAGTTAGGCACTCAAAGTACTTGTTTAGACATTATAGGTCTGATCGTGCAAGCATCTCTATAATAACAGAGACAAGGGCTAAAGAAATGGCTACTTAGTTAAGAGTAGTGACCACACTTCCTTAAGAGGTGGGTTTGATTCCCAGCACTTACATGGAGGCTCACAGCTATCTGTAACTCCAGTTTCAGGGAATTCAATGTTCTGTTCTGCCCTCTGTGGATACTAGGCACACATGTGATGTGAAGACACACATATAGGCAAAATACCAGTACACATAAAGTCATAATAATAAATTATTTTTTAAAACAATTCATGGAATTCAAAGTTAGTTACCTGCTCCAATTTTATCAGGAAACAATCAATAAAGTCCCGAGGATTATTAATATCCAGTGATTCTTGGTGCTCTTTTACTTTTTCCAAACAATAATGTTTTAAGAAAGTAAAATTTTTAAGTAATTTAGCATGGCTCCCTGGTAGATAATCAGTGATAGCAGGAAAATTATTGCAAACCTACAAGTAATGATAAATTATTTTTAAAATATGTAATGCAAATAAGAGTGTTTCTAAAAAATAATAATAAAAAGAATTAAAAACAAAAAAGTATGTAATGTATACATGTATACCAAGCAGGGATATTTGGGTAGAAAGCACAAATATAGAAGTAAATAACATATGCTATTCATTTTGATGGGTGATTTTTTTGTCACAGGTATATAGCAATTCTCTTTGCTTGTAGAACTGTCTTTGGGAGTCTTTCATGAAGATGGGGTAAAGCATAATAATTCACCACATAAGCTCTTATATGATCTTTATTACATATGTGTGTTTTATGTCAATTCATTCATTTTCTACATTACCAATTCACTTTAATCTTGGACTGAAGGATGACATAAATTAATGTGGCCAGTGCCTGAAAACTGCCTGGGGACTGCCACAGAGCCTCCCCTCCTGGCGGGAGCCTATGCACCCCACATTCCCAGTCTTCTTTTCCACCCACGGGACCAGGACTAGGACCAGGAAGAGGAGAACTACCAGAGTATTGGACTTGTTTGCACCCACCAAAAGGGATCTCTGGTCCCCTAACCACCAGACCAAGAAGAGGCTCTTTCTGCACCCACCAGAAGAAGGGATGGTAGGAGACAATACAAAAACACACTCAGCAACAGAAAAACAAATATGACACCACGAGATTCCAGAGACTCCACACCAGCAAGACTCCAACATTCCAATGCAAAGGAAGCAGAAGAGAATGACCTTCAAAACAACTTCATGAAAATGATATAGGGCCTCAAAGAGGATATGGGAAAATCCCTCAAAGAAATGGAAGAAAAAGCAAACCAAAAAATGCAAGAAATGGAAGAAAAAACAAATAAAAAAAATTTTAAAATGCAACAAATGGACTAAAAGACAAAGCAAAAATTGCAAGAAACAATTCAAACAGTGCAAGGGTTGAAAACTGAAATAGAGACAATTAAAAAAAACACAATCTGAAGAAAAGCTGGAAATAGAAAAGCTGGACAAATGGTCAGGTACTATAGATGCAAGTATAACCAACAGAATACAAGAGATGGAAGAAAGAATCTCAGGTGTTGAAGATACAACTAGGAGAAATTGATTCATCGACCAAAGAAAATCCTAAGTCCAACAAATCCCTAACACAAAATATCCAGGAAATATGGGATACCATAAAAAGACCAAACCTAAGAATAATAGATATAGAAGAAGGTGAAGACATAAATTAATGTGATTTATACTTCATAGACTGCAACAGATATTGTGGGACTTGGTACATCTTGATGGAAACATAGTCCCTACTACTTAATTTCTACTACCACTTTCAAACACAGGATAAGGAATTTAGAAATAGAGTCTCAAGGAAAGTCTGTCCAACATTATTTGGGTGATTTCTCACATAAATATCATTTAGGCATATTACAAGGCATGGCAAGTTGACCCAGAGGAAATCTGATGAGATCCAGACACCACTCAACCGGTTATTTTGTCATTCTGATCCCAGCTATTTTGCCAGTTAGGATGTCAACTCTTTATCAAACACTGCTTCCACATTTCATGGTGCCTGATGTTGTGTAGTATTACTTTAACTATGTAAAGATATGCTACATTTGTTTGTGTTACATAGTACTACTTTACCTATGTAAAGGAGTGTTACATTTGTTTATTGATGTAAAGATGTGTTGTATTTGTTTCACCTTTCCTGCCTAAGGCACCTGCTTGGTCCAATAAAAAGCTAAATAAAGTCAATAGCTAGCCAGTAGGGAATAGGCAGGGCTGGCAGGCAGAGAGAATAAGTAGGAGGAGGAATCTAGGCACAAGAAAATGAGAAAAGACTGAGAGAGAAAGGGAGATCACTGGGGCCAGCCAGGCAGCCGCCAGAGACACAGACACAGAGGAAGCAGAAAAGTAGGACACACAGAATGAAAGAAGGTAAAAAGCCCTAAGGCAACACATTGATGCAGATAAACAGGTTCAATTAAGTTACAAGAGCTAGCAAGATCGTTTACTGGCCTTTTGGCTAAGATCATGGGTAGCAAGAAATGAACTGAAAATAAGTCTGAGCATTCATAACTAATATTAAGTCAACTTGTCATGATTTGGGAGCTGGCAATCCAAGAAAGCCTACTACAGTCTGGTAGTTTTGATGATCCCAAACATTCTCTCACTTTGAAGACAATATTCTCTTAATGGATTGCAATATTTTTGTTAAGTTTTTTTAATGAGAGTATCGCTAAAAAAGCCTGTGGCTAACACAAGATTGAACAATGAAATAGATGTCCAGAGTTATGAGTGCATCTTCTGAGTATTTGATAATAATGATCTGTAAAGAGAGTGATTTAGGATTTAAAAGAAAAATTAATGGACAGAGAGCCTGCAGGATATAAAGAGTAAGTCCCATATCTTAGCCTTCATTTTTCTGGATGCAAAATTAAGGGTTCAAGCATCTTTCTTAAATGTTCACCAGTAACTCTCTGAGTGTCACTGTGGTTTCCACACATTTACTTCCCTGCACGGTCATTAAAGAATTGTGGAAGTTTCAGGAAACAAACATCTCTAAGTGGTTTGGTTTTCCTGATGTTCTTGTTGGTGTTTTGCTTTGTTTTGTTTTGTTTTTGTGACAGAAAGGAACATGGACTCACCTGCATCCAAGGGGAACTCAAAATCTTGGCATTTTCACTTAAATTCTTGATCAAGTTAAGAAAATCCTGATCATTATAATTAAAACGATTCTGGAAGATAATGGCACAGATGACATTGCAGGGAGCACAGCCCAGGATGAAGGTGGGATCACATGGTGCACCTGAAGAGTTGGAAGCATTTGTAAAATTGTATTGAAGTATAGGTGTGTATGTAAACATATATGTGTATATGTATAAAACAATTAATCTATTAATTAATAAAGGAACTTTATTAAACATTTTAATCACACCTATACCTTGCCTAGTAGTCATTATTCTTTGTGTACTAGTTGAGTTCATAATTCAGTTACTATCAAAGCAACAGATTTGTGTACATCCAGTTTTCCTCCAGTCCCTTTTTGATTGTCTTTTCACCCCAGTGGTCTATTGTTTTGTTTGGAATAGGGGTAAAAAGTCTGTTTGAAACTTTAATAACTCAAGCCTTCAGAGAAGAATCACCAATTGCAAAGCCTCTTGACAAAACAGTACTAAGAACAAAAGGAAAGAATGGCAGGGAGCAAAAAGCTTTGATACACAACAAGTAATTGAGTGAAACACAGCTATAAAGACAGAGATTGTGATAACTTCATGTATTGGAAAAGCTAATGTGGAAAGGAAAACCTGCTGATGCTATCTGAGATGAGAAATGTTCTGAATCACAAGAAACACAAGATGGATTTCTATGAGTAATGTTAAGGTAAGAACTTTTAGCTCAAAGAAACAACCCTCAGGAATGCCAAATTCTTTTAATCATAGTACCATTCTGGATGATCTGGAAATATTGTTTCATATGAAAGGAGACAGAGACAGATTTAGGAAACATGAATATGCACACGATTGTGGGATGTGAGTGTGAGCATGTGCACAATTCTGAAGGAGACCTTTTTTTTATTCCATTTTCATTTAATTTAAAAGACAGCATTAAAAACATGGTCACCATGGGGGGAGGGGCTAGGCCCTGCCCTGGATGATAGGACAGACTCTGGAGATCCCCCATGGAGGGCTTCCCCTTCCCTGGGGATTGGAGTGGTGATTGGGTGGGGCATTGGGAGGGTTGATAGGGTGCAGGGGAGGAGGGGAGGGAGAGGGAGCTGGGATTGACATGTGAAGCAAGCTTGTTCTAATTTAAATAAAAAAATAAAAACATGGTCACTCAGAAGATATGCTGATAATCAAATTTACTGTACAAGCACTTAGATTTGGTAGTGTGAAAATAAAATTACTTCCATAAATTTCATTCCAAAGTAGAATAAACAGGGGGATATAAAAACACAAAGATGACATAGTAGAAAAATCTAGTTACATACATCATTTAGAAATGTTTACTTTCAGAGATACCTTAATAGAGGGAGCCATTATAGGTTTAAAGAGAAATCTAGCACTAGGGAAATATTCAGGGAACCACAAGGACAACCCCAACTAAGAATCTAAGCAATAGTGGAGAGGCTACCTTACTTTGTAGGTTTTTTTTGTTTGGTTTTGCTTTATTTGGCTTAGTTTGGTTTGGTTAGGTTAGGTTAGGTTAGGTTTGGTTTGGTTTTTTGAGACAAGGTTTCTCTGTGTTGCTTTGAAACCTGTCCTGGAACTCACTCTGTAGACAGGTTGGCCTTGAACTCACAGAGATCTGCCTGCCTCCCAAGTGCAGGGTCTAAAGGCATGTGCCACCACTACCCAGCTGAGAGGCTACCTTAAATGCCCTTCCCCTATAATGAGATTGATGACTACCTAAAATGCCATCATAGAGCCTTCACCTAGTAATTAATAGAAGCAGAAACAGAGATTCAGAGCTAATCAGTGAGCCGAACTCCTAGAATCCAGTTGTAGAGCGGGAGGAGTAATGAGCAAAGCGGTCAGGACCATGCTGGGGAAACCCACAGAAACAGCTGACCTGAACAAGGGGGAGCTCAGGGATCCCAGTCTGACAGTTGGGGAACCAGCATAGGACTGAACCAGCCCCCCTGAATGTGGGTGTCAGTTGGGAGGCCTGGGCAGTCTATAGAACCTCTGGTAGTGGAACCAGTGTTTATCCCTACTGCACAAATGGACTTTGGGAGCCCATTCTCTTAGAGGGATACTCTCTCAACCTAGATACACAGAGGAGAGCTTAGGTCCTCTCCCAAATGATGTGACAGACTTTGATGATCCCCCATGAGAGGCCTCACCCTCTCTAAGGAGTAGATAGAAGGGTAGGATGGGGGGGTTGTGAGGGGCATGGGAGGATGGGAGGGACAGGGAACTGGGATTGTTATGTAAAGTAAGACTGTTTTCAATTTAAATAAAAATTTATTTTAAAAAATTTACTACAAAAAAGAAATGTTTACTTTCATCATGTAAGTGTATACATTTATTCAAAAGTGTAAATCAGTGAAGAATTAGATAGCAAGAAATATTTTTTTTGGTTTCTCTGTGTGACTTTGTCCTAGAACTTGTTCAGCAGATCATGCTGGCCTCAAACTCACAGAAATCCTCCTGACCCTGCCTCCCAAGTACTGTGATTAAAGGCATACACGACCATGCCCAGCTACTAAAAATATTTTTGTTTCATATGAATTGTGTTACTCTACTGAACACAAATTAATATTTGTTAAGATACTTGATACTAGGCCTGTATGAAACACTGAGATGCATCTGTTCTCCAAGATAATTAGTTAAAGGAAATGGACATAGTCCTAGATCTATAAGAGTATGGTGTGATCATTGCTACCATATTATATGCTGAGTATTCTCTAGTAAAATTAACTGGAAGGAATGACATGCAATTATGCTAAAGGTAAACATTCCTCAGTTCATCAGGAAGTGAACTGAAAACCTATATAGAATAACAACTATATTCATATATTCATATTTGCATTTGAAAACTAAAGAAAGAGTTAGTTTCCAAATAAAATTGTGGCTTGGAATCTGCAAACTCTATTCTTTGCTATAAATACCTGTCCACCTTGTGGAATCTCAGAGACAGCTAAGGAAGAGCACAAGGTAAAAGTCTCATTACAGAAGACAGGATCTGTAAAGATTGATGATGTGAAATGATACCCACCATTGGTTTTCCTTAACTCCTCCACAAGACAGTGAGCTTCCTCTTGAACACGGTCCTCAATGCTTCTCTTTCCCATCCCAAAGTTCCTCAGAGTCATGAGTGAGAAGCGTCGTGTCTCTTTCCAGTTCTTTCCATTGCTAAAAGTAATTCCTAAAAAATGAGACAGCAGAAGTTATTGGGAGATCCCAGAAAGAAGAAGGGAGGGGCTGATGAGTGGCTGCCACACAGAAAGCCAAGCTGGTTCTGAGCAAGACTGCCTTCCATCCACATAGTCCTATGACCACAGCCCAACATACGTACATGGACACATAGGTACATATATACATAAGAGCATATAGACAGAGGCATGTGGGCACATTAGTACATGCACACTTACCAAGGCCTTTCTTAATTTTTTCAATCACTGGAGAGCTTCCTCTTCCAGAAAACTCCTCTCCATGATCAATCAAAGCTTCCTTCACAACTTCATATCCGTGCAACACCACAGCAGGCTTGCTGCCCATGTACAGAGTGAACACAGGACCATAGACTTTTGAAAGCTGGAAAATTAAAAGGTGGGGTTTCTTTATGTAGCAAAGAGGGTCAGTATGTTTTTTCTATACAGTATGCTCAAATATAAGGATTGTTATTATAAATGTATATTTTTCTTATCACAAAATGATTCAAGATTTTATAATCCTATACTTAAATATGATAATGGTTAGAGGTGTCAGTTTGGCTACAATGACCAAGTACTTGGTAATCAGTTGCAGTTAATCATCAAATCAGCATACTTAGCATTTATTCTGGTTTACAAAAGAAACAAATTGGGCAGAAAATTCCATGTTATTTTCTATTGCCCCAGAAAACCAAAATTTGAACATCTATCTATTCAGTGCTTGATTCTTGAGCAATTTACTATCTGCCTATGCTTAGTTTGAAATTAATATGCAGATGAATATATCAGGATCATCTACAAAGGCTCTTGTTGTCACAGAAAAAGGTGATTTCTCTCTCGGAGTCCCTAGTTTTGTTTATAAATGAATTTAAGAACATACTCTGAAGAAAACTGAGAGCAATTTTATTAGCACTTAAAAGAAAAACCACAGGGTTGGCAAGTAGAAAACTCCCAGAAGCTGCCAGAAGACGGAGAAGACAAAGAAAGCCCAGCTTTTGAATTAGATACAAAGCCAGCAAGCAACTTCATGGCAGACAAGGTAAATCAGTCTTCCTGAGGTGATTAACAAGCATAAGTGAATTGACTCATGATTTGAGATGCTTGGAATGTTAGGTCTCCACCTAAACTAGAGAAATAGTTTTCCCTTAAGGGCATCTAATACTATTTTAACTTTTTTTTTCACAGAAATCCTGATGAAGAAGTTCTATGATAAACACAAGTGACTTTCAAATGATTTCAAGATTGTTCTCTTGCCCAACCTAGTGTTCAGGCTATTAGCATTACAAACAAGCTCTACATAGGATGCCAGGACACCAGCATTTCCTAGAAAAACATTATTGCCCCCAGAACGGGGGTGTGTTCAAAGTTCTAAAACCAACAATTGGGCCCTGTTGACTGCTTGTTCTTGTCATGTCTTGTGTTGTTCAGACCCATATTCAGATGCCATATAGGGGTTGATTCTTCACAAAAGTTCTATTTGTTCAGCCAATCTAAATAAAGCACATGACTAAGATATGTGAAGAAAATTTCCATGATAATCACTTTTCTTGCTTATCTTCAGCCTAAAATCACAGCAAACAACTATTAATAACAACTGTGCCATATGCTGGTGGCACACACCTTTAACCCCAGAACGTGGGACATAGAGGTAGGCAGACCTGAGTTCGAGGCCAGCCTGGTGTACAGAGTGAGTTCCAGGGCAGCCACAGTTACACAGAGAAATCCCATTCAAAAAAAATCAAAGTTGTGCAAGAAAATAACAAAAATTTACAACTTTGCCACACTACTAAACACCCACTAATATTCCCCTATCCACATCTATGATTTCTGACAATGACATGTTGGGAAATGCAGCTGGCATGTCGAAGTTCAGCAGACAAACTTGCTATCATGCATTGCACAGGTCATGCCCAGCCATGTTTCACTTAAACAATGGTTCATTTGCTTCCCTTTCAGAAACCCAAACATGTACTTACATCCCTCAATGATTTGCTAATGTTCTTCAGATCCACCTGAAGAATATTTCCAATGATTGGGAGAGGAGTGGGACCAGGAGGAAGTGTTCTTCTCTGAGAGCTCTGCCTCCATAGTGAAAGGAGAAGCAGACATGAGAGAACAAGCCCCAGAAACACACCTAGGACCATAGCTGACTTCTCTTCTTACTGACAAGAACGTGTGCTTACAACCAAGGTTATAATAATCAAGTCTGCTAATCCACTTGTAAGTCCCTGATACAAAACAAACCAACCGAAGACAACATTTCATCTCCTCCCAGTGGACTTTGTTCCCACATGGAGATCACAGCAAAAATTCCCTTAGCTTTGTTTTCTTTGATTTCAGGTCCTACTATGGAGTACTGTGCTTTCATTTTGTTGGATTGAAGCCTTTAACTTTGAGGAAACTGTTGTTTTAATATGTAGTCATAATTAAAAAGAAAAATTGAAACATTATTTCATCCTGGAAAACAGGGAAAGTTTTCGAATTTCTGGATTCCCAGGCTAATGTTCATTTAGAACGTATTATATTGAAGGAATTCAGTATTTTTTTTAAATTTCTTTATTCATTTTGCATACCAACCAGAGTTCCCCCTCCTCCCAATACCCTACCACCTCTTCCCAACCTCACCAGCCCCATCCACTCCTCAGTAAGGGTAAGGCCTCCTATGGGGAGTCAACAAATCATGGCACATCAAATTGAGGCAGGACCAAGACCCCTCCCTGCATCAAGGCTGAGCAAGGCATCCCGCCATAGGGAATGGGCTCCAAAAAGTCAGCTCATACACCAGGGATAGATCCTAGTCCCACTGCTAGGGGCCCCACAAACAGACCAAACCATACAACTGTTAAGCACATGCAGAGGGCCTAGTTCAGTCCCATGCAGGCTCCCTAGCTGTCGGTTCAGAGTCCATGAGCTCCCACCATGTAGTGATATATTATTTATGATTTATTAAATCTTTCCTGATAATTCAGAAAGCAAAGTCAGCCACAAGCTATAGAAGCCAGGGACACACCTTTAATCCTAGGACTCAGCATTAAGAGGTAGATGGATCTCTCTTGAGTTCAAGGCCACACGAGTGAATCAGTCTAAAAGAGAATTATAGCTCACACCTTTAATCCCAACATTAGGGAAGTATATAAAACAGAAGGAAGGTCTCAGAGAGGCATTTGGTCTCCAGCCACACTGAGGAGAGGCAGCAGTGGATCAGCCCCTTCATCCTGAGCTAGAGGTGAGAGATAGAGACTGGCTACTTTGCCTCCCTGATCTTCAGCTTGAACACAAATATCTGTCTCTAGGTCTTATATTTATTCACATTACACAATGAGCTTGGGTCAGCTGTCTCTGTGGGTTCCCCCATCATGATTCTGTCCCTCCATTGCTCGTATAATCCCTCCTCCCTCTCTTCTACTGGACTCCCGGAGCTTAACCCAATGTTTGGATGTGGATCTCTGCATCTGCTTCCATCAATCACTGGGTGAAGGTTCTATGATGACAATTAGGGTAGACACCAATATGATTACAGGAGACAGTCAGTTCAGGCACCCTCTCCATTATTGCTAGGAGTCTTAGCTGAGGTCATCCATGTGGATTCCTGGGAGTTTCCCTAGCACCAGGTTTCTCCCTAAGCCCATATTGGCTCTTTCTATCAAGATTTCTCTTTCATTGCTCTCCTTGTCTGTCCCTCCCCAAACTCAGTCATCCCATTCCCTTATCTTCGCACCCCATATCCCTTCCCCTCTACCACCCCATTGCCCCCATTTTACCCAGAAGATCTCACCCATTTCCTCTTCCCAGGGAGATCTTTGTGTCTCTCTCTTAGGGTCCTCCTTGTTACCTAGTTTCTCTGAGACTGAGGATAATAGCCTGGTTATCCTTTGCTCTATGTCTAGTATCCACTTATGAGTGAGTACTTACCTTCTTTGTCTCTCTGGCTCTGGGTTACCTCACTCAGGATTATTTTTTCTAGATCCATTCATTTACCTGCAAATTTCATGATGTCATTGTTTTTTATTGCTGAGTAATACTCCATTGTGTAAGTGTACCACATTTTCTTTATCCATTCTTCGGTTGAAGAGCATCTAGGTTGTTTCCAGGTTCTGGATATTACGAATAATGCTGCTATGAGCATAGTTGAGCAAGTTTCCTTTGGTATATACCCAGCAGTGATAATTCTGGGTGTTGAGGTAGATTGATTACCAACTTTTATGTAACTTGTCTATAAAGAAATGTAATGTTGCATAATACTATAATTTTTTCCATTAATAACTAAAAAGCCTTTCTGTTTTTCATTTATTTTATATACTGACCACAGTTTCTGCTCCCTTTTCTCCTCCCATCCTCTAACCCCAACCTCTTTCTCCTGCCTTCCATCATCCCCCCTCCCCATCCACTCCTGGTCTCCATTAAGAAAGGGGCAGGCCTCCCACAGGCATCAACAAAGCATAGCACATCAAGCTGAAGCAGGACCAAGCTCCTCCCTCTGAATTAAGGCTGGGCAAGGTAACCCAGCATGGAGAATAGGTTCTCAAAAGCCAGTTCAAGTGCCAAGGACAGGTCCTGACCCCATTGTTAGGAGTCCCACAAACAGACAAAGCTACACAACTGTCACACACACAAGCAGAGGGTCTAGGTCGGTCCCATGTAGGATCTCCCTAGTTGGTGGTCCTAGCTGAGCTCCCAGGAAAACAGATTAGCTGTCTCTGTGCCCCCTATCATGACCTTGGCCCTCATGGTTCATAAAATCCTTTCTTCCTTCCTTTAAAAGGACTCCCAGATCTCTGCTCAGTGCTTGGCTACGGATCTCTGCATCTGCTTCCATCAGTTACTGGAAGCTCTCTAATGACAATTAGGGTAGTCATCAATCTGGTCACAAGAGATGGCCAGTTCAGGAACCCTACACTATTGCTAGGAGTCTTATCAGGGGTCATCTACCGCTGCTTGGGGCGGTGGGGCAGCCTCTATCACACAGGGCTGGAAGGGAAATCCATTTTGACTGTGAGAAGGCAGTAGCAACTTGTGTCAGTGTACACATAACAAGATCAACTAACAGATTAACTATCAAAAGTACATATGGAGATTGATCACAATATACATAGCAGGATCATAGGGAAAAATTATACAACTTTGATAAAAACATTTTTAAGGGCAGACTCCTGGGCTGGAGAGTTCAGGGTAGAGATGGGGGTATGTGAGCCATACCCTGTAGCACGTAGGGACTGAGAGAAGCTGGGATAACCTGGCAGCCAGGCCAGCTGTTTTTTTTTTTTTTTTTTTTTTTTTTTTTTGGTTTTACGAGACAGGGTTTCTCTGTTTTGGAGGCTGTCAGTCCAGCCTAGCCTTGAACTCACAGAGATCCGCCTGCCTCTGCCTCCCGAGTGCTGGGATTAAAGGCGTGTGCCACCAACGCCTGGCCCAGGCCAGCTTTGATGTAGTGAATCGGCCCCTCAGTCATGTGTCCTGAGTTTGGAACTTAACATCCCAGTCTTTTGTTGAATAATAAATGGGATGCTGACATAGTCCTTCACTACTTCCTCTGACATTAAAGCAATGTTGGGGACCCAAAAGGCTGGAATGTTGATCAAGTCCAGGAAAAACAGACTGCTCCATTTGTTGTCCAGACTCTTAGGACAATCTGGGGTTAGGAACATGCAGGCAGCAGTTGGAGCAGTCTGTAGCCTTTAATTGATTAGAAATCTGCTGGAACAAATGTATATTAACAGGCAGAAAATGTAGTTAAGGAATTTTAAGGGGGGAAATTTTTCTCTTAGGTTTACATTTGAAATTTCCAGGTCCACAGTCCTGACAGGTGGGAAAGAGGTGTCCCAAAACCAGTGAAAAGGGAAGCGTTACCACTCCCTGAAGACTAGGGAGGTGGGGAGACAGACTGTTGATTGGTAGTACTTATCTGAGGTCCATTTTGATCTGTGAGAGGTAGTGGGTCCAAGTTGATCTCCTGAAGCTGCTCAGAACGCTTTTAAGAGGCAAAAGTTGCAGATATGCTAGCATTATTATTGTTTGTAGTCTGTATCAAAATCCATATTATAGAAAAGGCAATAGATTCATGTCTTTGAGTCATAGAAAAGTTTGGAAACATAAAAATGATTTTGGTTAAAAGTATTAACATTTTTCCTTTATCCAGATGATTGGATGTATATAGATTAGGCAGATGTTTATAGCATAATGAGAAATATTTTAACTTAGAAAACAACCAAAGGGAATTTAAAACCTTGAGCTTGTGACTGTGATAATAACAGTCAGTGTTTACCAGACATAGATTAATAGCTTATCAGAGTTCTATTGATCAAAGCCAAAACTATGAACTTTTGAAGTCTTAATATAAAAATAGCACAGAGAGGGGGAAGATATTTGAAACATTTTTTGTTATTTTTGCGTATCTTAAAACATCTTTCTGTACCTTGAAGTACAATTTATAATTATAATTTAAGCTTTAAAATATATGCCTTGTTTTCTTTAGTTATTTATCAGGAGGCGCAGGAGATTTACTTAAGTAGTGCTTTTAAAACAAGTTATTTTAAACAAAGAATAGTAAAAAGTTACTTTGAAACTTGTTGTGAGTTTATTTCTTATTTGGGCTCTGGTAGCTAGGCAGATTGTCTTTAGACCTGGAAAGGATGAGTTATAACTGTAAATGTGGTCTAAATGGTCTATGTATCAATTAAAATAAAAGAGACTCATTGGCCAGATAGATTTCTTTAGGCTCTGGTGGTCTCCATAGTTTTATTGGGGGCCGTTGTTGTAGGTCTTCAGTGTCATACAAAGCAGCATAGGCCTTTGGTTGTCAAAACCAGGGTTGAGATTTTTCTATAAAGGAACATCTTGGACAACTGACTTCTTCTGAACCAGGCAAAGCAGAGCAATTGACCCAAAAGTGTACAGAGTTTAAACAGAGCCCTGACGGCAAACAAGGCATGGGTAAGTCTTGTCTTTTGTGAGAAGCTTAAACATTTTAAGTGCCAGGGGGTAAGCAAGGAATTGATTACATTAACCATTAGCATGACTACAAATATAGTTGTGAACACATTTAAAAATGTTGAGTCTGGGAGTCGCACAAATATTGAAGATGATGTCACCAAAGTTAGATAAGCAAAGGCAACTTTATTCCATCACCACAGGGTACCAGAACTTCTAACTAAT